TGAGTCGGCGGTTGAGGTAGAGACGGATGAAGAGGAGAAAGAGAAGGACAAGCCCAGTGATATTGGTGCGGATGCGCAGAGTATTGATGGAGATGATGATAATGATCCCCTTGCGAAAAAGCGCAAAAGGTATCACTTTGTGAGCTTGAATTTCTGCTTAAAAATGGCTGTTTTGTTAGGATTTGTCGTGATTCGTTTGGGTATGGGCTGGAAGGATATTATGCTTTACTTATTCCTTTGTTTGATCCTTGTAGTTGGAGATTATGTGAATTTTTCCTGGGGTGAAGGCGAAATGTGTTAGTATGGTCCCATATGGGTGAGCAGAGATAATCCATTGTTAAACCCCAATTTTGTGATGAACTTTGTGGTGTGCACAATTGTGTTTCTAATGTGCTGATATTAAGTGCAGAAGATGATTTATGTGTATTTACTACCTGGTTTCTCAGTCATGTGTAACTCCTGAATATTGAAGTTGAAAGTCTAGTGTCTTATCCAGACCCTTTTGTGTGTTGCTATCTTCTATTTGAGTCATGGAGTGCTATCTATTGCAACTTGGATCTCAAATATGTACCTGAATAGCGTCATGCCTTCCTTTCTTGAGTTGTTTCCTGTTGTTGCATTTGCCTGTTGTAGCATACACTTTCTCAAATGGAGGCAATATAGGAGCAAGTTTTATTTTATTTTTAATCAGGATTCACAATTAATTAGGATTGTATGAAATGACATTGTAGGCAAATGAGGAATAGGGATGCGGCAGTAAGATCACGGGAAAGGAAGAAGATGTATGTGAAGGATCTTGAGGCGAAGAGCAAGTATTATGAAGCCGAATGCAAGAGGCTGGGGATTATGCTCCAGTGCTGTCTTGCAGAGAATCAAGCATTACGGTTTTCGTTGCACAATAATAAGGCATTTGATGCATCCACGACCAAGCAGGAGTCTGCTGTGCTCTTGTTGGGTAAGGACTTCTAACTCTGGTCACCATCCTGTTTTCATAAGTGCTAATATTATATGACATAGTGCGGATCGATTGGATTCATTTTTGGCAACGAACCGAAACCCCATATAATATCAATGATTTTTGTAAATGCCAAATATTGAAACTGAAACTGAACAGATTTTGACTCAGTTACCGACCTTCAGTAACTGGAAGTTTGATTCGCTATTTACTGACTTTTCTTGGTCCCTTTTTCCATCTGTAACATAACTTTATGTTGCCATCGCATAAATTACTTGTATAACGATTGAGTGCAAATGTCTGAATATTCACGTCATAGCTGTTTAAGTTGTCAACATGTTGGACTATCGCTGCCTCTTTTGTTTTTACAAATTAAACAGCTGTTCATCGTACAGTCCGATGCTTTTTGCAGTGTGATTACTATATGAGCCGGTCAGTTATAGAGTATCATTGATTTTTTTTTTCCTGATTTTAAATTTGATCTACTTACCTTGCCAATCATTTGATGTATGATACTTGTAATTCTCCTTTTATCTCCTTTCTGTTGCCTGAAGAAGCCTAGGCATTATTAATCTATTTACACCAAGCTATCATGCAAAATTATTGGAAAAAAATAAATAAAATAAAAGAGTATGAATGTGCAACACCTGCATATCATTATATTGGCAGTTTGATTTTTCATTTTTCTTTATGACATTGTCTGCTGTGTCCGTGTGTTGAACTGCTACTTATTTCTTCAATGGTGGCTCTAACTGCTTTTGGATATCACCAATGCAATTCACTTTACTAAATCTTGGCATCTCAAAGAAGCAATTTTGGTCATTTTCTCGTATATTTGATATTAATGCATGCCATTTTTTTCCTTTTTACCTCAGTTTAGATATATTTATTCGATAATTAATCTTGTATTTTTGAAACATTTCAGAATCCCTGCTGCTGGGTTCCCTGCTTGGGTTCCTGGATATCATCCTTTGCCTTCTAATCCTGTCCACCCACATCCTCCCGTTTCTGGAAAACAACGGGGGAAGCCCAGAATCCGAAAGTGTGGTGGCTCCAAGAAACAAGGCTCATAAACTGGTGGTGGGTGTATTTAGTTTGTGTATGATGGGCAGGACATGCAAAGCTTCGAGAACAAAAATGAAGTTGAAAGTGCTGTCTGCTGCAGATATAGTTGGATGAGCCTCTCTTTTTGTCTTCTTGTAATGGGGTCCTTAGTATAGTTGCTCCCAATAAATATAACTGCTTTTGTTGGTGCACATTTGGAAAACGGTTGTTTTCGGATTGCGTGGCTTTTGTGTTAACTAGTATCTAGACTACTTTTATCTTTATATGAACTGCCTCTTTGTTTTTTTACTGAATGTATGTTCTAGTATGAGTGATGTGATGTTTTAGTTTCTATGGTGAGGCTCCATGCATGTTGGCGGCCCGATTGATTCTGTTTACATGCACTTTTTTAATCTTCCTATATTGTTCCAAACTTGCATTTGGATTGCATGTTCCACTTTTGACATGTGTGGACAATGTAAATCAAGTGATTGCTATGACTGGGACATTTGCGTTTGCCATGACCCTTTTGCCCACACGAATTAAACAGCTCAATTGTGATGTTACTTTCTCTGTACTCGACTTTGAACCTTTTTCGCAACCTTTAGTACGTCTAGGCTCGGGGCCGCATACAAGAAATGTTTACTAGCTTTTGCTTTTACTCAATTCTTGCTCATGCATTTCTTATCATCAATCACACATTTCAAAAGTTTGAGCTTTTCCACTAGAAACTTGTTTCTCGCATCAGTCAACGATGCATCATGAATGAGCTCTCTTGTTATTTTCATTAGCGCCCCACATATGGCTTGCAAAGATTTACCTCCTTCAAAATCAAATGGTGTATCATAAATAAGGCTACTTTTTGCATTCGCCCACCTTTTCTCAACATAATTTTTAGGTACTAACATAACTTGTTCAACCCTCATCCAACATAGCATGTGTCTACAATGACACCCTTCAAACTCATTTTTTTTACTGCTACACACTATAAAATCTTCATGGATATCATGTATCAAAGTCGCTTACGATAAGTATTTATTTCATAATCAAACCGCCAATCTTCATAAATGAAATTTGATACTTGAACACCAAGTATCCAGAGTTGCACGTAAATCGAACAAACAGACAGTAACAAAGATTCAAACAATTGCGGAAGCAATTCTCACTTGGAATTGAACCTTCAGGAGAGCGTCCCACTCTCCCTTCAGATCTCTTTAGTTAATGTGAACAACTCATACATCATTCAAGGATTTACAGTATAGACTCCCTCTACACTCTACTTGAATAATGATCCACACAACTACTTATCTGACCACAACTCCCTTGTGGATTTTCTAGTTCGAATACCTCAGACTAGATTAAAATGAACCTCCGAACATTCTGTTACAAAAAAAATGTGTTCTAAAAATCTTTTTTTTTTTCACTCAAGGAAAAAAAAAAATAAAACTCAAAAATTCCAGCAAAAAAGGATCGTCCTCAACTCGGTCTCGTCCTCCTTTTATCACCAGCATCCTTTGATAAGTCTTTACGCCCAAGACATAAACGCATATGGAAGGTAAATCCCACGATCTTCTTCTTCTTTGATTATGGAAGGTGAATCTCCCCTTTAATCTTGTCGACCTGCAAGAATAATAAAACAAATAATCGGTCTTGACTTAAATAAAGCAGGTCTTATTTATACCAAAAATAAACTTCCCTTAAATATTCATGCATGTTTCTGAATCCTGTGATCATCAGAAGGTTCATCGATTTACTGGCAATATCCTGAACTTACAATCTCCCCCTTTGGCAGATAAATCGAAAACTATTTCCTTGAACCTGCATGATGAATTACATATCTTGTACTAGATTTAACAACCACAAAAATAATTTTCACATCACATAAGTGTTGTTCATAAGAACAACTCAAATACCTGAATAAAGGAAACAGATCATAAGATATTAATAACAAAAGGAGTTCATCACATGCATGGAGAAGAAAAGACAGAAAGAAAGGAGTTCAGCAAACATAACAAAAGGTTTTAACATAAATAAATATCCAGCTGAGGGATGGCTATGCAGATTTTTCCTCATCAGATTCTTCCCTTGAACCTTCTTCAGGGCCATCCTCAGTCTCTTCCTCTGAGTCTGCTTCCTCTTCCTCATTCTCGGCATCAGACCCAGCTTCTGCAACCTCTTCTTCATCAGAACCTTCATCTTCTTCCACAACCTTCTCCTTTCCCTTCTACTTCGCGCAATGACCTTCTCTTTCCCTTTTTGAGTAGCAGCATCAACAACCACCTTTTTCTTCTTTCCTTCAGCAGCCAATGTTTTCTTCTCCCCCTTAGCAAGAGCTTTCTTCTTTGCAGCAACCACAACAACATCCTTCTTTTTCCACAACAACATCCTTCTTTGTAGTACCTTCGCCAATCAACCAATTTCTTTTCAAGTCCCGCGAAAAATGCCACTTGCTGATTTATAAATCCGCGAAGCTGTGAAGGTATATCAGAGGCCTTAACAAGAGAAGGACGAGGAGGAGCAATCTTAACACCTGCGAGGGCAAGAGGTTTGTTAACAGGGGCAAAGTTATCATCAAGTCGAGGATCCATTTTCACACCAGCCTCGAACAGAATTGCACATATGGTAGATGGATACAGCAACAACTTATGAGGCTTAGAGATTTCTGCAAAGCCCACAACAGCATCAAAGATCACATAACCAACATCAAATGGGATACCATTCAGAACACGGTAGATAACACGAGCTTACGTAGGGGTGACAAACTGCTTGTGAGTGGTAGGCGTCCAGTTCGACGCTCCTATCTTCTGTAGAGCATTGGCAGACGGAGTTAGACTCTTCACAAAGATTCCCAGAGAAAGCCATTTGGTTAGTTATCCACCGGTCAAGGTGCGAGCAACTTCATCAAGATCATCAGTCAGTGGTCCAAGAGAGGAACCTTCAGTTAAGCCAAGTATAGAGTTCACCACAGATGGAGATAAATCAATTACACTATTACGCACAAACACCTTCTAAAACTTCATTGAGGACGGATCAAATACAGAGGTAGTCAGGTTCGCATAAAATTCACCAATAAGCAGGGGACGATACTTTCCAACAGACGTGATGGAATCCTCAAGACCCACTTTCTTCAGAAGTTCAAGCAACCCAAGTTGTTCATAATGTTCGCTAACAATCGTCCGCTCAGGACGGAACATCATTTGAGAAAAAATGGTAGAAAAATGAGTTTCAGCCAAAAGAGAATAAAACTGACGGGAGAAAGAATTACCAACTGTAAGAGGATTGTCTGGATCATCACCTTCGACTTCAACAACGATTTTTCCTTTCTCAGGAGAAGAGGGTTCCTCGTCTACAGCATGTTTGTTGTCTGATTTCTTAGGTTCAGCAACATAGTTGGTAACCTCTTTTTCAACAGAATCATCATCAGAATCCGGAGACGACTCTCCTCCAGATTTCGTGAGAGAATGAGTACCAGCAGCAGATTCAGGCACATGAACAATCTTTTTCGCCTTTTTGGTTTTTGGTGCAGCAGTTGCGGGGACCTTCTTGCGCTTCTTTGGAGATTTGATGATAGAGGGAGAACTTTTGTCTCCTTTTTCGCTGGGTTCGCCAACTTCAGGTTGAGAGACCTTCGTTGTTGAGGATTTTTTAGGACTTGGAGAAACCCTAGCTGTGGATTTAGCAGGAGGTTGAATGTTCTCGGTTGCCATGACGGAAGGGGTTTGGTCTGGTGGAGTTTATGTACTCTGATTTTGCCGAGTTGAGCGCCGAGATGGCGGAGGAACATTCTTCTTCGGCTTCACGGTGCCCTGCTTGGATTTAGTCATTGTCGAGAAATAGGTATTCTCTTTAAGAAGAAATGTTAGAGAGTTTTAGAAAGATAAACAATTTAGAGATTATGATTGATATGAGAGAGAGAAGCAAAGGTGGTATGGATGATATAGGAAACTTAAATCACAGTTACCGAGGTCGGTTACAAGACGGTTCGGCTCACAATATTTGAATTTAAAAAAAAAATTGACAAATACCAGCGCAAATCATTAAAAAACCGTTCCCTCCAATTCTGAGAAGATCTCTTACCAAATTTGAACAAGTTACCATATATCAGCATGAAGTTTCAGATGAAAATACCGCACAAATCAAGCACCTAAAATAACCTTGAGCTCAAGATCGCGAACCAATATATCACAAACAAAATCTTGATGCACATGCCTAAAATAGAGTAATCAACACGCAATAACCCAGATTTTCAAATCACGCAATATTGACAGAATCCATTAATTGATATGGACTATAAATCTTTCCAAATCAGTTTGAAACGAGCTCGACATTATCAAAAATAGGGAGAATACATATTCTCTTCATGAACAACTCAGCCCTTATTACTCCAACTTTTATAACCCGCGGAATTAATATAAGTTCATCCATCACTTTCTCTTAGCAAAAAGCAAAAATTTTCGTTTGCAATTCAGCCCCAATACTTATGATGAACTTACTCCGTTCTATGAACTTCCACACCAATTCACTTACTAACAATGACTATACGCCAAGGTCAAGCCCATTACTTGAGGTGTGAATCATCCCGCAAAAAGTTTTAATTTTAAACATGCTGAGAAGATACTAGGGTGACCAACCTTATAACTCCGAAGAAGGTTCATTCAATAGAATGTCTACCTGTAGCTGTCACACCTCGATTATTGTTAAGCACGTAACTCGTTTCACAAGTGATCAATGAAACACCTCATGTGATAGTTGCCCGATGCCTATTTTCACGAGAGTAGCTCTTACAAGTATGTGAAAATGATCATTATGACGAGCTCTCACAAATTGACCAGTTAGAGTTCACAGACCATCAACAAATTCAACAATACATAGATCATAGAAGAATCAAGGGATGAACCTACATACTAGAATGTATAAAATGCAAAGAACGATCCTATATGCGACACAGATAGTTATATGTATAAATGCAACTGACACAAATGCAGATATGTTATATAGCACACATTCCTAAAGATTTTCTCAGTGACATAAATCGTTTCGAATCAAGGGCTTTTGTAAAGATGTCAGCAAGCTGATCATCTGGAGGTACATGATCCAATACAACAGTTCCTTCTTCGACCAAATTACTAATAAAA